GAGAAAACAAACAATATAATCCAATTACAATCTAAATCATTATGAATATATCTATAATCAAAAGATCAAAACTTATGCACCAGCGCCAAGCCAATTAGGGATGTGCTTTTAAGATGCTCCAAAGAAAACCAGAACTGTAAATTAAAAAAAAAAAAATCAAAATCTTAAAAAATTTGACTACCGTATTAAAAGAAGAGGTGGGACTTTTTTTTTTTTCAATGGAAAGTAAAATAAAGAAAAGGTGGGACTTGAATCCAATTTTGGGTAAATGCCAGAACTTACGGAAATGCTGAATTTCTTGGATACTTCCTTTTTTGAAACAGAGCAAAGATCATACCTTTACCCGCCAGTTACAACCGAAAAACAGAAAACTAAGAACTGTAAAAACTGATTCGCCGCTGCGCCAGTCTCCACCGTCGGCTCCACCACCGGACCCAACCGTCCCACCCCTCAACCGTCCAGATCCACCTGACATTCTAATAGTATTGTTCTTATCATAGAGAACAATTTGACTCGGAAAACGACAAGCTGAAGCAGCAGCTGCGCACTGGTTAAGCAGCTTTTTGAGCTGAAACATATTTTCAATTTCTTCGATCCTTTTTTCAATGGGTTTGGGAGCTTTGATTTTTCAAATTTCTCTTTCCGGAAGCTGATTTTGGAGATTTTATGTTCTGGGTATCTTGAGAAGCAATGAGGAGGAGCGGTAACGCCGAAGAGTCTGTGACGGCGCTGCGGAATCCTAGTCCTAAGAAGTCGGAGAGGCCACCGCTGCTGAAGAAGTCGAGAACCATAGCATCGGACGGCGAATGTTCCACACCACACTTCCCTGGTCCCCTGTTCACCGCCGTTCGTCGTATCTCTTCAATTGCTTTTAAGAATTCAAGTTTTCTTTCTCAACCTTTGTTTTGAGACAATTTTATGCTAGTTTCTCATAAGTAATTGATTACAGATGCTGCATTACTTTCTAAGCTTATATGAAGGGGTAGGATTTTGTTGAAATGTTTTTAATTTCCCCTAAGCCATACTAGGGTTCGCCTATACTGCTTAGGACAAAGCATTTAGACAATGTGTACATTTATGATAGGACTGTATCAACAAGCAGAGCTAACTTCAGTTGGGTTTATCATCAGGCAAATAACTTTTCTCCCTTTTGCTCCCATTTTTGTTTTACTCATTTTCATGGTGTGATGCACAGACTTAGGAAGTTAACCTTTTTAAGTTGATCCGATGAGTGGACATAGGAAATCCTTATGTCTATACATGTCTCATGTAAATCTAATATTAGATTTAGAATCTCTAATATCATATGGTCAGACTTTTGCATGTGACTAACCATAAGCATGTTTAGGTTGCAATAGACTAAAGGGCAGAAGTAGTTACATGCCTTATTAAGCAAATGTGAGTTATAGCTAGATAAAGTAGATTCTAAGGCATGTGATGTCTTTGGAGGGATGGTGTCTGAGAATCATTATAATTTGAGGCCATTTTTAATCAAGAGAGTTCAAAATGCAATTTAGATTTGGAGTGTTCTATAACGGCTAGTGGAAGTTACTGCAATAAGATATTGTCAAACATATACAGGCCCTTTAACACGACATACCCATGTATAAATAATATTCTACATAGATACTACAAAAACTACCTAAAGATTATGCAGTAGATGAGGTTAGTATAGAATTTTGAAAAGAAATGTTAATGAAAGAGAGGAATGCAATTCTAGAGTTAAGTGCACAGCCATCTCTGTGCTCAACAAGTATCTAATAGCTATTAACTCCATGTCTAGTTTTAGTGTCCAAGCACCCATGTCTCTTTCTACAATTAGACCAATTGCAATAGATTAGATAGTTGTAAAGAGGCAACCGATGACAATTAGCATCAATGACAATTACCATCAACACTTTAAGGTATTCCCTAATAATAGAGGTCTGATAATAAAGAAAGTAAAATTTTTTCAGTGAAACTCTACAAAGCACACACAGCTTAAAAAAAAAGAAGAAGAAGAAGAAGAAGAAGAAAACTAACTTTTGAATGTTTTAACAATGTTTACTTGGAGTTTGATATTTTAGATAGTTACTACTGTGCACATCCAAGACTCACAGGGTTGCTTTAGTCATTTCCTTTTCCTTCAATTGAAGTAAAACTATAGGATTTATTTATCATTGGGTTTACCTTGAAACTGAAGCAAGTCACAGAAGATATATAAAAATAGCTTTATGCTTTCTTGTTTTAAATTAATTATATAAGATATGCTTAGATTGAAGATTCTTTATTCATTTTTTGATAGTGTTGGTGTTTATTAGATTTAAACCTACAACATTGACTCTTTTCTTAAATTATAGAAATTGCAAAGGTGATCAAGTTCAAGTACCTTCCAACAATTACAAAAATACTTGGGAACTTTTGTTTTACAAGTAAGACAATTTATCCCATTATAATTACCCTTTTGCTTTTTAGCTTTTATTTTTTCATGTACTTTCTTTTGTTAGCTTATAATAAAAGACATTTTGCTTTTTTATAATAATGTAAATCAAACTATTATAGGCAAACAGGTTGATGGTGACAATGGTTTGTTAGTTCAATGTAAACATCCTCAAGAGAAAATTGAGGAAAATGAGCAAGAAGATATGTTGTTTGTTTATTGCTTATGAAGTTCTTTCTTATACTTGTTATTTGTCATCGTCGTAAGCATAGGTATAGAGAACTTCAATTATGTGATCAAGATGAAAGTGCTTATCGGGGGAAGATGTGGATTAGAGTATTAGATGATGAAAAAATTTGCTTGCATCAACTTCGTGTTACTAGGCAAGCATTTAAGAAATTGTGTGATTTTTTAGTGGAGAAAGGTGGACTAGTGGCCACAAGATATGTGACAATTAAGGAAATTGTAACACTTTTCTTGCATATTCTTGCTCATGACCTTAAAAATAGCACAATCAAAAGTAATTTTTTCCCGTTCATCGAAAACAATCAGTAGACAATTCCATGTTTTGCAAGTGGTGATGAAAATTGGAAAGTTTTACATTAAACAAAATAGTGTATCCCTCCATGAAGTAGATGATAAGTGGAAATGGTTCAAGGGAGCTCTTGGGGCACTTGATGGAACCCTTATTGAGATAACTGTACCTACTAGTGAGCGAGGAAAATATCGAGATAGAAAAGGTAACTTGAGTACAAATGTTTTGGGAGCCTGTGATGCTAATTTGAAGTTTACTTATGTGCTGCCTTGTTGGGAAGAATCAGCATCAAATTCTTGTGTTTTATGTGATGCTTTAACCATACGCAATAGCTTAAAAGGTTCACAAAGTAAGTGTTATTAATTCAAGTTATTTTTATTATTTTTAACTCCTTGTATATATTTGACTTTTGACAATTTTGGTTCTCTTTTATTATTTTTTTATGTAGATATGTATTATCTTGTGAATTTGGGCTACACAAATGGTCAATGATTTTTGTCTCCTTATAAAGGAACTAGATATCATCTAAATTTGTGAAAAGGAAACACTGTAACTAATTACCAGAAGTTGTTTAACCTTCAACACTCTGCTACAAGAAATACAATTAAATGCGGCTTTGGGTTAATAAAGAAGAGATGGGCAATTGCACGCAATGCTTACTTTTATGATGTGAAGACTCAAATTAGAATCATCAATGCATGTTTATCCTACACAACTTTATACGAGATGAAATGGTGGAAGAAGATTACTAAGAGAAGTGGATGAAGAGCTTGAAGAGGTTACACTTGAAAATGAGGTTGAGAGAGATAATATAACATTTGTGGGAGTCATTGATGAATGGTCACAATTTAGAGATAATTTAGCTATGAAAATGTTTAAAGAATACCAAGTTCGGCAAGCTCTAAGGAATTAAGATTTTCTCATTTAGTCTTTTAAAATTTTTGAACTTAAGATGTAATGATTCACTATCTAATATGGCACTTAATTGGGTTTTGAATATGAAATATTAGTTTGTTTTGACTAGTTAAAATTTTTTTTAGTTAATCATGGATAATGTTCTTGATGGTTTTATGTTAACATTTTCTTGTTTTGGGTACTAATTTTCATAGTTAATTTACTAATTGATTGATAATGCAAAGAGGTGAAAAATCTCCTTCAAGTAGTTCAGGTGTGCAATATTTTGTTGATTTCCAAATATTTTGTTTCTCTAGTAGCAAGTCAAGATGGTGATATGTGTTTTATTGTGACAAAAAATGAAATGAAGAAAATCTTACCTGACTTATTTACAATGCGAAATTGTCTAGTTGTATCTATTCTTGTTATTTTAATCATTGTTTCTACTTATTTTGCAATTGCCATATTGAATTTTTTGCATGATGACTGTTGTAGATTTAAATATATTTTCCCATAAATCCAAGTTTTTGTTAAATTTCTTTAGTCTTAGCACCAATTGTGAAGAAGATTGAGCTTCCATTTAACATCTCAAAGACATGTTTCCTAGGTGGAAAATTTATGTTAGATTCATTTCCTTTGAAATGGCTAGAAACTAAGCTTGAGCATTTATGATCACTGCCACTGGTTGAAACTGCATTTTGACCACTGCCCGATTCAACATTTCTTTCTTGACCTGTTTTGTTTTTGTTAAATTTGTTTACTTGTTGCTTTCCTTCACATGGAACACTTGTATTTTTTTTTTGTGATTTGAGTAATTAAATTAGCCTGTATTAGCAACACTACCAAAAAGTCTTCAATTTCAATCTTTCGCTTTCAAGATAATTAACTATATATGTGTTCTATTGTTAACAGGAGCAAAAAGAAAATAAAAAAGTCAAGTAGAAGGTGTTTTTAGGACTTACATACAATGGACAAAGGAAATGGATAACATTTTAGCTATTTCACTACATGACTCTTTATCTCAAGGCCTCAAAACTGATAAAAATTGGAAGCCTCAAGTTTACCAAGTAGTTGTGGATTATCTTGGGAAATCATTGAGCGTTAATGTAACCAAGGAGCAAGTCAAGAATAAAGTAAGACAATGGTATTATTATTGAAATTAGAAGGCATCAAAGTGGGTTTCCATGGGATGAAGAAAAGAAGATGATTTTATAACAGCAGATAATATGTCAGGATGGAAAGATTATGTTCGATAGAATGGAAAGGCAAAGGGATATGCAAATAAACTGATAGAAAGGTGGGATGATATTGTGATGTTGTGTGGGACAGATAGAGCAACTGGTGAAGGTGCTGAAACTTTAGAAGATACTGACGAAGCAATGATGGGAGATGATGAAAATGATGTAGAATACTCAATACCACCTGTTGCACCACCAACACAGCCTTCCACATCGTTTACGATAGAGTCCCATCAAAAGAAACAGAGGAAAGATCCATTGGTTGCTATTGTTGATGACATTGCTTCATCACTCAAGAAGTATATGAACTTGAAAAAGAAACCAAATGGTCAAGAGATATATGAAGTAGTTTCAAAAGTTTTGGGTCTTTCTCAACAGGAAATATTCAAAGCAATCCAATTGTTATTAAATGATGATCCTGAGCAATTTTATTTGCTAAAATCACTTCTTGAGGACAAGAATGATGACAAGAAATATGATTGGTTGGCTTTCCTTCTAAGTTTCGATTGTATATTGAAACATAATTCCCTTTTTATATTTAATATTTTCTAATATATGGAATCTAATACTCTGATTTTGTCTTATTATCTAGTTGGTTTCTCTGGCACATGCAAGACATGAAGTACACTCGGATTTTCTAGTTGTAAGTTCTTCTCCAAGTATGTTGTAAGTTCTTCTCATTGTCATACTTGGTTTGTGGGTTAGTAATTTCACCTTTAGGCATTTTTCTTACAATTTCTTCCCATTCATTGTTTTTCTAGCTTTGTGTCTTTGACCTTTTGGGTTTCGTACTAAATCTAAGTTGATTTTTCTTGCAAGATATGAAACTTGCGAGTTCCCAACATGATATGGAAACTAATTAAGAATGAGATTTGGTGAGATTGAGTCACAAGTTTCTTTGGGTAGTTTTAGAAATTTGGTGTTAACTTCTCAAATTAAGGAGTAGGTGTGGTTGTTATTTTTTTTTTTTTGGACATATCCTAGTTTTGTTTATTCTCTAGCTAGTGGATTGTGTGCTTATTCATGATAAATTCATCTTTGCAAAAATTGAATATTGTATGATAATAAAAAAAAATGACAAAAAATAAAGAATATGAAGACAAACTGATTGGTGGAGGTCATTGTTCTTTTTTTTTTTTTATCCAATCTGTTCATCTTGAGGTAATTTAAATAATGCCTTGGAAAACTAAAATTGTTAACTTTGGTTTTATCAAATTTTAATAATGATAAGAAGAATATTTAATTTAATAGGAAAAATTCAATTTTAAATGCATAGTATTTTAAAATATTCAAACAATGTATTTAAAAATTATTTTTCTTATTTCAATCCAAACAATGTATTTTAAAATACACATTCTAAATATAAATACATGTTCACAAACACAAC